AAACTATTTTCGCCTCATCCAAAAAAAATAATAAAATAAAGTAAAAAGAAGAAAATTAACTTTAAATGGGTTCTAACCTCTACAAATCTGCACTTTCCTGACAACTATACATCATATATAGTAAACTACTGTAACAATTTATTTATATACTTCCTCCGTTATAATACAATATTCTTGTTTACTATTTTTGTCCGTCTCAAAACAATAATCTTATTTTCATAAATAACCATATCACTATATAACTATCCTACTCTTTCATTATTATTACACAATTATCACTACCTTTTACACTAATACACTCACAAGGACAAAAATGTCTTTTACCTATATTTTTTTTACCCACTATCAATATAATATTAATATTTCTTAAATCTCGTGTCCAACACAACCAAGACTATAATTCCGGGACGAAGGGAGTATATAAAAAGAGTATAATATTATAAACTTACTCTAACTTTTCTTTTTAGTCTTCTGGTAAAGTCAACAAATTAACATTTAACTATTATCCTTCATTCAACATGTATTTACAACAAATATCACTTCCTTTCTTACATTCTCACTCCTCTTTTTTTTTTTTCTTTTTAATTTCTTACTTCCCAAAAAATACCCTCATTTTACTTTTTTTACTTTTATTATTTCTTAATAAAATATTTATTTTTCTTTAATTTCTATGTCGGACTAAAATGTTCTAACTTTTGCGGATGTAGGGAGTACTAAACAAAACCCTTCCCTCGAAAGATTAAACAACGTAATAAAATCAACGCCACAAGCAAACATATGCCCCATTTTGACAACTCATATGAAAACAGGTGCCTTCCTCCGGCGGACGTCCATTTCAGCATACAGAGGCATCACAGGCATAGTGGATGGTGTAGTATACCTTTTCTATCATATATATATATATATATATATAATACTATAGGAGCTCATTGTGAATCCACTCATGCAAAAAACTTGAATTTTTAGTAATTTTGTATTTTTTTAAAAATAATTTAATTGGTCATTACTATTGGTGGTTATAAAAATATGAATTATATATAATAATTGTTATATATATATTTTTTAATGGTTATTTTTAAATGTATATCATATCATATCATATATATATATTTGAATTTATTGTGACCCCACCACAGTCTAAAGCAAGAATTTTTAGGAATTTTGAACAAATTTGAATTTTTTTTATTAAATTTCTATTAGTCGTTGAATTTGATTAGTTATTATATTAATGTAGGCCAATATTTTTTTTTTTATGTCAAATAATATAAGGTGCACATTGATTTTTATAAGCATACGTATTAATAAGGTGCAATTTAAATATAAAAATTATTTTTTAATAATTATTTATTTTTATTGATTATTTGATAGAATCGCTTTTTATTAATAAGCTTTAATATTATTAAAATCAAATTTATCATTTATTTTGAAATATTTTAATTTTTTAATAATTTTGTAGTTTTTTATTAATTAATCATTCAGATATTTTACGATATACTATTATTAATATTTCTCATTATATGTTATTATTGTTTCTCATTCTAATTTTCTTTTATCTATTTATTTTTTAATATATAAAAAATTAGTGGCAATAGTTTAAATTATAAAAAGTATTGTGGATAACCAAAGATATTTTGTAAAATATAATTTATTTTTAAGGTTTTAAAAATTCTATAATATTAAGGGTGTGTTCGTTTGTAGGATTTTGTCAAAATCCTACTATTCATCCAAAATTTTCCCCCCAAAAACATCAAATCAAACACCTATTTTTTATTTTTTATATTATACTAAAAATCAATTTTACATTCAAAACATCACATCAACACCTATTTACATCACATCATAAAACTATTCAAATTCAAAATTTTTACTATTCAAATCTCAATCCAAAATCCAAACCCCCAAACAAACACACCCTTAAATTTGTTTTTATTTATTTGTTGTTATTTGTATTTATATATGTGTTAAATTTTATACAATTCAGTGTTTTTAATATAATAATTTTATTAATATATATTTCAAATATCATATACGTGAAGTTTGAATTTTTTTAATTTTTTTAATTTTTTTTTTTTTTTTTTTTTTGCTTTTTTGAATAGGTTGATTGATAAAATAATTCAACATATATTTTTGTTTGTTAAATATATATTTTTAACTAATTATTATTTCTAATAGTTTTTTATATGTATATATTAAATGTGTCATTAAAGTAAAAAAAAATAATAAAAATAGTAATAATTATTATTTGATAGTATGTTTTGATAAACAATTATAAAATGTAATATATATTAGAAAAAGTAACTTATCTATTTTTATTAGTTTTTATATAATGTATATATGGATAGGAAATTAATATTAAGATATTTTTTTAATATTTTATATTAAATACTATTATATATTAAAATATTGGTATATACAATATTTTATAATTAGGAAGTTGCAGAGGTTTATATTTAGGCTGATGATAATATGAAAATCTTTTTGGAAATCTGTAAAGTTTTTTTAGAAGATTGAAAAGGTTTTTTCATTATTATTTTATAATAAATATGCATGTATTTTTGGGAATCTGTAAAGTTTTTTTAGAAAATTGAAAAGATTTTTTCATTATTATTTTATAATAAATATGCATGTATTTTTGTGTATATATATCTTATGATTTTCAGTCATTTTTGTTTGTAATACAAGAGTCTTGCTAGGCTCCTTCATTCTCGCTTGCTTCTCTATCTTCGGCTGGCTGTCTGCCCTAGGACGGCGACTACAACAACACCTGGAAGTTTAAATCTTGCGGAAGAGCAATATGATGTTGGCTCATGTTTTAGGCAAAGCATTTAAGGATGATGATGTGGTCGCTTGTGTTTTTTTTTTTTCTTTTTTCAGTTCTTAAATGGTATTTAACTTGCAATTTATTGTGTTGTATTTTATCCCTTCTTAATACTCTATTGTGTTGTATTTTGTAGTTTATTGTTTCGTATTTTCTCCCTTCTTAATACTTTATTGTGTCGTATTTTATATGATTTTAAGTGAAAGGAAGGTGAAGTAAATGAGAACTTATTTACATATATTTATTTTTAAATTAGTGTTATGTTGTATGTAACGAAAAATAAAATTTTCTTTCCTATAATTTAGTCATGAATGATGTTTATATTTTTCTTATTTTTTTTAATGCTCTATTCCACCGTGCACAAATAATGTATACATGTTGCAGAAGTAAAAAATAAGAGTTGTGTAAATTGGGTTTTTTGAACTCTGATGTGACTATCATGACGGAATCGGACTCAATCATAATTCTTCCTGGACCAATCACTAGGAGCCGAGCCCGTAAATTTCAATTGGCAATAACAAAGTGTGCCAAACTTCAAATGGATGCCATTGCTAAACTCTACACCGACGATCAAAATAAACCATGCATTCTTCTAGAAATTGGACCTCAAGTCCCAAAGACTATAAGGCCAAGAGCACCTTACAAGACATTGGACCTCCCCCAAATTATTATCCCTAATTGAGGATTCCATGAATCAATATCCCCCGAACGAAGGAATTTCATAGATCAAGGGATTACCAATAATCATGGGATTGCCATGAATTATGGGTCAATAATACTAAATAAGGCTAATTATAATAACTATTTCCTATATGATTTTATTTCCTTTAAGAGTGTACTTTCTTATTTTTAAATTTCTACGGTTCCTCTATAAAAAGACTCATGATTATCATTGTAAGATTATTCATTCCACAAAGAGATTTCATAAACTGGTTTTTTTTTTCAAGAGCGATTCTTGTGCATTTTTTAAGTGTAATCTTGAGTGATTCGGTTACAGCTTCATATCCCCAAATTGAGTTGTTTCGAGTGATTTGAAACAAGTCGTGGCCTCTCGAATAGTACTGGAACTATTCTTGCCTTAGCTTGTATTGTCAGCTTGTTTAGAAGATTGTGATACGTGAGCTTGATCTCTCGTGTTGCCTTCCCGACTACCTCTCAATTCAAGAGAGTCCAGTTTATCTCCATTAATATAAATATATATATATAGCCATCCATCCCTTACTCTATCAAAATCTACAATATTCTTGTTACTTATTCTTGTGGAATTAGATCCGAACTGTCATCCTTGGGAAGTTCGCATCAAACTCTCAATCTACACTAAGTTAATTAAATTTACTAATTTGCTTTAAAAAATTTCATGTAAGATTCTTTTATTTACTGTTATAATTATTTAAGAATGTAATATTAAAAAATTATATCTATGTATTTCAACAAAAATTAATAATTTTAAAAATTTTGTTTTTAATTCTCTTATTCTAAAGTTTGTTACTATGTATAATGTTAATTATCTTTTAAATAAGTAAATATTTAATATTTTCAATTGAATTTATTATATATATTTTAATCAAACTTCAATTTATAATAAATTTTTTAGTTTTAAAAATTTATTAAATTATCTTTCTTTTATGTCATTAAAAATTAAATTTAGAATCTTGAAACTTCATCCGGATATAGAGTATTTTAATTTTTAAAAATTCTTAATATAATAAACTATTAATTATTTCATATGATATAATAATTATTATAGCTTTAATATAAAATTACTTTTTAACATAACACATAAAATAAAAATTATGCATTTATTTGAATGTATAAAGAAAACTCATATAATAATAATAATATTAATAATAATAATAAGGTGTGTTTATTTTGTGTTTTGATATTTTTTTACGTGAAATATGAAAAAATGTAAAAGAATTATTTTTGATTTTTTTGAAAATAAAAAATGATGTGTAATATATTAATTCTTGAAAAAATATGTTAAAATTTTTGTTAAAAGAATAAAGCTATCATTTAAGTATATTTAAAAATATAATTGTAAATCTAACTAAAACAATTATTCTTGTTACGTACGAAATTTAGAATTAGGTTAAAAGCCCAAGGTAAAAAGAAGAATGGGCCTGGCAATAGAGTTGATTGAACTGACTGAAGGGCACCATGAGGAAATCAAGGAAAATAGATTTATTACTAAGGAAAGTCCTCAGGTCGGAAGGTCTTCAGGTCGGTAGGTCCTCAAGACGGAAAGACCTCAGGTCAGAAGGTCTTCAGGTCGGGAGGTCCTCAAGACGGAAAGTCATTAGGACGGAAGGACCTCAGGTCGGTAGGTCCTCAAGACGGAAGGACCTCAGGTCGGAAGGTCTTCAGGTCGGGAGGTCCTCAAGACGGAAAGTCATCAGGACGGAAGGACCTCAGGTCGGTAGGTCCTCAAGACGGAAAGACCTCAAGTCGGAAGGTTTTCAGGTCGGGAAGTCCTCAAGGCGGAAAGACCTCAAGTCGGAAGGTTTTCAGGTCGGGAGGTCCTCAAGACGGAAAGACCTCAAGTCGGAAGGTTTTCAGGTCGGGAAGTCCTCAAGGCGGAAAGACCTCAAGTCGGAAGGTTTTCAGGTCGGGAGGTCCTCAAGACGGAAAGACCTCAAGTCGGAAGGTTTTCAGGTCGGGAAGTCCTCAAGGCGGAAAGACCTCAAGTCGGAAGGTTTTCAGGTCGGGAGGTCCTCAAGACGGAAAGACCTCAAGTCGGAAGGTTTTCAGGTCGGGAAGTCCTCAAGGCGGAAAGACCTCAAGCCAGATGGTTCGCAAGTCGGGAGGATTGGCAGTCGGACCCATACTATTGTAGATTGGCAGTCGGGCCAAAAGAGCGGAAGGTCTGTGGTCGGCTCAAAGAGTGAAATATAGGGATAATTTTGGTCTGCTGGGGACGCGTGTCAGCATGAGAAGGGTTGGAAAACGGTTGGGAAGGAGACGTTGTAACCGTTCGGGTGACGGTTTTCGGTACGGTTTCCCAGAGAATATTTAAAGGCTTGGATAATCATTTGGCAAGGCATCTTCAATCAACTTCAACAAAGCAAAGTCAGATTTGGGGATCACCACTTTAAATTTCAGTCTTTTATTTTCCAGTTTATTTTCTGTACCATACAGTGTTTAGAGATTCCTAATCTCAGGCACTAATTAATCAAGTTTAAGGATATTTTCTATATCTTTGAATTTTACTTTATTTTTGTTGAAAAATTACATCAACAAATTGGCGACCACAGTGGGAGCAAGACAAAATTGCTCATTCCAATTCCGGCGATAATTTCATACGTCTTAGATCCGGCCGAATCATCGGAAGGGTCCATATGGCAGGTTCACAACCACAATCATCTTCGGCACCGGTGGGAGAATCCGTTCCACCACCTATTGTGCCAAATGCCGGGGAAATCCCACAACCACCAACTGATTGGTGGTCTTATGTTCAACAAATGAACAACCAGCATACTTTGGTTATGCAGAATATGTTGCGTGAGCAACAAACGAATATGTTGCGTGAGCAACAGAGTCTGATGCAGAACATGATAGATCAAGCACTGTCAAGGGTTAGTCTTCAACCCACTCAAACGCCACCAGGAGTGTCACCGTCCAGACCACAGGCAAATTTTGCAGGGCCATCATTCGTGGATAGTACATTCCCAAGTGCCACAAATCCCAACCGTATGGATAGGGGAAAATCTCCTTTGACCTTTCCCAACAATGTTCCACTGGGACCAAGGGTTACCAATCCGCAGCCAAACAATACAAGGGAGGATAGGCCTGAAGGATATATACATGATCCTATTCATATTCCTGTGCAGGATCCGTTCCATGTTCCTGATCATCAACGCTTTCATGTAGATCCTGATGAGATTGCACACATATTAAGGGATCAGTATGGATTAACTCCTCAGATGGCTAACCGCCCTGCATATCAGAGACCTTTCCCAGAAAGGATCATTAATGAACACCCTCTCCCAAGAAATTTTCGACCACCCGATTTTCATGCATTCTCAGGGGAGGACGGATCTTCCACCATAGAACATGTTGGTCGGTTCACAGCACAATTAGGAGAAGTTGGCAATAACCCTTTTTATAAGTTACAGCTGTTTGGTTTATCTCTTACTAGAACGGCGTTTTCGTGGTTTGTAAGTCTGCCTCCTGGACAAATTCAGACATGGGAAGGACTGGAGATGGCATTTCACGCTAGATTCTTCAATCCTTTACCAGTTGTTTCTTTAACTGATTTACTAGAATTGAGACAGTTTCCAGAAGAATCTGCTTCACAGTTTATAGAAAGGGTGCGATTAATGAAAGGACGATGTCCTACGGTAATCAGTGAGAAAGAGATGACCAATTTAGTGGTCCGGAATATGCATACTCGTTTAAGAAAGGCACTCACTGCCCTGGATGTGGAGGATTTGGCAAGTCTTGCATCCAAGGCAGGACGTTTAGAGTCTTTGTTCAGAGAGGAAGATCAGCATAACAGGCGTAATAGAGGCCAACATATGGCGAGTATGGGAACAGAAACATGTGACTTTGATTTTAATCAATCAGAAGAGATGGCAGCCGAAATCCTTTCTGGAAAACCTTATGTATGCCCTAAATTGAAGCCAGTACCAGGATCTGAAGGAAAGGAGCAACCGACTTTTGATAGTTCGAAAGCTGATGAAATCTTTGATATCCTACTGACTGATGGGCAGATCCGTATTCCAAAGGGGCAAAGATTGGCCACTAAAGAAGAAATCAAAGGGAGACCATATTGTAAGTGGCATAATTCTTTCACACACAATACAAGTCAGTGTACTCATTTCAGGAAGGAAATTCAAAAGGCCATCAAGACAGGTCGGCTCAAATACATCACTTTAGGTGTAGACCAGCAACCGTTTCCAAAAGTAACAACGGCAATGGTTGACATCCAACCAAGTTTGGAAACAGGGAAAAGTTCGGCCAATAGTGGGCAAACAGGGGAACGAACTCAGGCAAGCCCCGGAACAAAGAAAGGAAATCAGCCAAACAGCAGCCGACCGGAAGAACGATTCAAAGTTGTTGAAAGGCCAGTCGCTGAAAAATGGGACCGTCCAGACGGTTCTTTTAACGTGGAGGTGAAAGAAAAGGTTTTAGTGCGTGACCACCCGACCAGAAAAACAGGGTCAGTCGGGAACAATTGGGCTCGAAATAAAAAGCCTTTACCGGTTGATATAGATCCTCGTTTCCCAGGTATGAATCGTACACAGATTCGCAATGCCAAACGCAGGTATGCTGCAAAGTATGGGAAACGAGTTCCTTCAGCAAAACAACTAACAGACGAACAAAAAGCAGCCGACCATTTGGCAGGAGATCAGTCCATTCGGGTCTTTACAGAACAAACGACCAACGAGCAGGGAGCAGCCATTCAGTCTCCAATTGGTCGGTCCAGTCGGGTCTGGTCAGGAAAGCAACCGAATGACGGATTAGGCGCTTCCGACCATACCAAAAGAAGTTCGTCGGGACAGGGGAAAGGTAAAGGAATGGCAGATGAAATAATTAAAGGTTTTAGATGCCAACATTGTGAACGGATCAACATCAATCCATCTCTTGAAGATTTCCGTATAGAATCTTTGACGCTTCAACCTCAGAACAAGACGAAGGAAGAAGTTCTAACTACAGAGCAAAGTTCAAGATCTGTTAAATCTCGTCTGGGACCACGAATCCCTTGTCGAATGACAGAGATTAATCAGATGAGAGATGAACCGATATGGGCGAGTCTGGTAGATGATACTATGGACGAACCGTTATGGGCATTCTTGGCAGATGATGAATTAGAGGAAACAGAGTGGGCAAAGACTTCAGATTCTGAGCCTCAGCCGGAGCCACCTTCGATTGTGTTTCCTCCTATTCCAGAGGGTGCGATCTCCCATTTGAAGCCTCTGTATGTTAATGCTCATATTTGTGGGAAACCAATCACAAAGGTTTTCGTGGATAATGGAGCAGTTTTTAATGTTATGCCATTGAAGACTCTCAAGAAGCTAGGGAAAGGAATTCATGATCTGTCTCCTGTGGAATTCGAAATGACAAGTTTTACAGGGCAGCCGACTAAGCCTGAGGGCATGATGGTTGCCACAATCGAGGTCGGACCAAAGAAGATCTCCACTGTTTTCTTTATTGTGGACGCAGATACTACATACTCTCTCTTGCTGGGAAGAGACTGGATTCATGCCTCTCAATGTGTGCCTTCAACCCTGCACCAACAATTAATGTTCTGGGAAGGAAATCAGGTCTTCAAAATGGAAGCGAATGACAACCCATTCGATGTATCAGAACAAGTTGAAGAGTCAGTGTTTTATTCCAGTCATTTGGCTCCGATGTCTCAGTTGTATATGGCCAGGGAATACCCAAACAAGGGTTATAAAGTTACTGGCCAGAACTCGATGTTCTATTAAAAGAACACCTTTATTGTATGGCTCATGATAAAGCCACACCCATTCCCATATAATTTGTTTGTTATGGATGATACAAGCTTAGAAGTATGTAGTTCTCTTATTAATAAGTTCTATTTAAAGCAGTTATTACATAAAGCAGAAAATAGTAAAGAGATTCTGGATGTTCACCTCCAAGAAGATGAACAATTTCGTTGGCCCGACTTATTAGAAAAAACAGAACCAACAGCTTCATCACAAGACCCATTATTGGAGTTTAATTTAGGAACCGAATTGGTTCCAAAAGTGATCAGGTTAAGTGGTTATTTGTCTAAAGAGCAACAAACAATGATGCTCGAAGTTATTAGAAACAACATTGATTGTTTAGCATGGGATTATTCAGAGATGCCTGGTTTGACAAGAAGTCTAATAGAGCATCGATTGCCTATCAAAGAAGGTTGTAAACCTTACAAACAACCTCCAAGGCGAATGAGCCCGGATCTAATGCCTCAAATCAAGGAAGAAATCCAAAAACTTCTCAAAGTGGGTTTTATTCAGCCTTGCCGTTATGCGGAGTGGCTGGCTAATATTGTGCCAGTGGTCAAGAAAAATGGTAAGATTAGGATATGCATCGATTTCAGGGATTTGAATCTAGCTACCCCTAAGGATGAATATGTGATGCCTATGGCCGACATGTTGATAGATGCAGCAGCAGGGCATAAAATCCTTAGTCTGATGGATGGTTATGCAGGTTATAACCAAATATTTCTGGCAGAAGAAGACATTCCTAAGACAGCATTCAGGTGCCCAGGGGCTTTAGGTATTTATGAATGGACAGTCATGCCATTCGGGTTAAAGAATGCAGGGGCAACTTACCAAAGAGCCATGAATTCAATCTTTCATGATTTAATTGGCAGATCTATGGAAGTGTATATTGATGATGTTATTGTTAAATCTGCCAGTTTTGATGAACATTTGAGAAATCTTGAAGAGGCATTCGAAAGAATGAAGAAGTACAAGTTGAAGATGAATCCAACCAAATGTGCTTTTGGAATATCAGCCGGGAGTTTTTTAGATTTTTAGTTCATGAGAGAGGAATTGAAA